GTAGAGCCTGCTGTGAAGGGGATGACAGATCCCGATCCGAGCGGGATGGATGGGATGACAGATCCTGATCCGAGCGGGATGGATGGGCAGCTATCAGGAGTAGGCGAGGTCAGACTAGCCGGTCGGTATTGTGCGGGCAGCGTGGTACGGGGGGAGTAAGCGGAGAATGGTCGGGGTCACAAGCCAGGTTCAGCAGGTAGCGGGCAGCGCGGTGCAGGAGGTCAGGCAGAAGGATGGTCAGGGACGAGTCGGGGTCAGAGCAGGAGAAGGTCAGCATAAAGAGGACAGGCAGAGTTTGGCAACAAGGAGCGTACTTACAGGAACAGGAACGAGACCTTGCAGCAACTTGGAGATGCACAGGCAGCTTTAAATAGAGCGCCCTGCTCTCCCATTGGTGCGGCCGCGATCTCTACTGCGCATGCGCGGCCGCCGCGATCGCCGAGGATTCTGCGCTCGCCGGCTGGGACGGATCGGCGGTCTGCGCATGCGCGCGCCGCCGAGGACCCGGGATCCCTGACAGTCAGTTTATTTAGCACAATCGGTCAATTGCAGCTTGCCGTTGGCTGGAAACTGTACGTTTATGTCACTGGAATGCACTAATCACCCAAAAAATATTACCGCCACCCGGCGTGTGTAAATGGACCTAACTCTTTGAACGTACAATAGTGGTTGTGAAGTAGAAAGTCAGTTTATTGTACACAATCGGTCAATTGCAGCTTGCCGTTGGCTGGAAACTGTACGTTTCTGTCACTGGAATGCACTAATCACCCAAAAAATATTACCGCCAGCCGGCGTGTAAATGGATTTAACTCTTTGAACGTACAATAGTGGTTGTGAAGCAGAAAGTCAGTTTATTTAGCACAATCGGTCAATTGCAGCTTGCCGTTGGCTGTAAACTGTACGTTTATGTCACTGGAATGCACTAATCACCCAAAAAATATTACCGCCACCCGGCGTGTAAATGGATCTAACTCTTTGAACGTACAATAGTGGTTGTGAAGCAGAAAGTCAGTTTATTGTACACAATCGGTCAATTGCAGCTTGCCGTTGGCTGGAAACTGTACGTTTGTGTCACTGGAATGCACTAATCACCCAAAAAATATTACCGCCAGCCGGCGTGTAAATGGATTTAACTCTTTGAACGTACAATAGTGGTTGTGAAGCAGAAAGTCAGTTTACTTTGCACAATCGGCAAACTGCAGCACCAACTGTGCACGACAGCCACCAAAAAAAAAAAGGGTGTATGTCACTTTAAATTTTCGATTCTTTGATAGCTGTGGCCCTAAGTAACGATTCTGTGTCCCTGAGTAACGATTCTGTGTCCCTGAGTAACGATTCTGTGTCCCTGAGTAACGATTCTGTGGCCCTAAAGTCTCTGTGGCCCTAACTCTGTCCCTTAATACAGACAGGTCTGTCTCTCTTGAATGACCGGAGGCTAATGGAGAATTCTAAGATGGCCGCGATTTATAGCTCCACCATTACACAGTGCTGGCTGGCTGGCTGCTGATTGGCTAATGCGATCACATGTCATGAATGAATGCATTATGGGTCAGCGCGCCTTGTCTGCGTGCCTTCCCAGAGATCCCCGCTCCGTCGCCACACATGTCGCCGCCATTTTTGGGAAAATTCGATTCGTGCATCCGAAGTTTGCTAATCTTCGGATTCGTCGCGAATCGAATTTTTCCAAATCTTCGGAACGAATTCCACTTCGTCATGTTCGATTCGCTCGTCTCTAATCATTTATGGTGAATAGTGATATGATATGCAATGCTTTTTGCAGATGAGCCCTGTCATAGGAAAGGAGGCCACATGATCCCCCGTACTTGGAAGTGTAGGGTAGTGTTGTTTCATTGCTAGAGGATGAAGCAGCAGGTGAGTGCTTTCAACGTGAGTATAAGTGGGTTCCCTGTGCTGAAACACTGTCACTTTGCATCTCATGAGTAAGGTGACAAGAGTCTTTTTTTTTTATATGACAGTTTACTTAAGATATTTTACAGACAAAGAAGAGCAAGGTAAATAGTACACAAAACATCATAAATATGGTAACCAAGGATGAGTAGATGTACAATTTGGCAACCAAAGCAAAGAAAGAGTAAGAGAGGAGAGGAAAGCATAGGCAAAAGACAAGATGCATGGTTGTTCCATGATGGGGCAGAGATTCAGGTGCACACCCAGGGAGAAAATCAGGGTAAGTAAGTTTGCTTGAGTGAAAGTCCTACTGCATGCCCAATACTAGGGTGTGTATGCAGAGGGAAGACAAGTCCATAAAAACATTGTTGGGACTTGGTGGAGAAAGAGTAGAGGGGGTGAGTAGAGGTGGGGACAATTTGGGGGTAGAAGGGAAAGGTAAGAACTAGAATAAAGGGAGAGAGGGGAGGATGTGAGCATGCCAGCTGTATGGTACCCAATGCGAGGAAAAGGCAAACTCAGAATCCAATGCAGTTTCACAGTATTGTATTTAGTTGACTGCAGTTCCAAAAATAAAACTTTCACTTGTAGAGCACAGAAGTGAGCAGTAGCAGCTTTGTTTTACACAAGAGCAGTATTTCTTGAAGTAACAGGGCCAACAGCACTCAGTAACAGTTTCAGTGATACTAGTAACAGGTTCAGTAACTCTCAGTAACAAGTTCAGTAACTCTCAGTAACAGGATCAGTAATACTCAGTAACAGGTTCAGTAACCCTCAGTAGTAGACTCAGTAATATTCAGTAACCGGTAAAGCAACCACTCCACACAGGCACAGTGTTGGTCCCAGACGAATGCTACACAGTCCTTAAGGCACAGGAGTGGTGGAGCAATATAGCTAAGCTGACTGATACCAGAAGTTTGTAGTCCAGTGTAGTTTTACATTGGTTTATCCTCAACACAGTGGATCACAACACAATCTGAGTTGATCTTACTTCGGCAGCTTCTATAGGAGTGGTAGTGGCCTGGCAGGTAACTAACACAAGTGGCAGTTTCCAATTAGCCTAAAGCAAGTGGTGGCAGCTTTTCTGGAGATCAATGCTGACTATAGGACGCTTGCAGTGTCCCCTGCTCCGTCTCTTCTCGCACTGGAAATTTTCCTGGCTATGTCCTCTGTCCTTGCCAGATAGGTTCCTCTCCCTACATTAACCACTTACAAAATGGGCACTGAACTTGGCAGGGCACTACTGTTTATTAGCACTGCCCTCAACCAAGATGGCAGCAGAAGATCACTGGGAGTTGCAGTACCCAAATCAGATTGTTGCCTCTCCTGTGATACCTATGGAGGCTGCAGGAGAACATCATTCCCCATAGGAATTTACTCCATCCCCAAGGTGGCAAGGCATTACATGCTGGGTGGAGTTTGAACTACACCTGTGAGGTGTCCAGCCCTGAAAGTTCATGCATTAGAAACTCTACAAAAAATTATTCTTCAAATTCTTGTTTAAAGAGGTCTCAAAGTTCCAACATGGTGTTAAATATGTCTAAGGTGTTATGAATTTTGGCCAATAAGTGCTCCATTAATTGCACATCCCCAGTGAAATTAAGTAGTTTGCTCTTTCAGGGTGAGTAGGTAAGTTTCTAAAGCTTCACCATTAGGCATTTTACTATGGTCAGAATGTGGACTATGAGTTGTGCCTTCTAGGTGACCAATTTGGGAGAGGAACCCCAAGGAGATAGTATAGTGGGTCAAGAGGCAGTAGGTTTTCTCTGAGTTTGCAAACTCAGGTACTCCATTTCTGAAATTGCACTGCTAGGCACTGTAGTGTCATCTTAGGTTCCACATAATGATTACGGGGTAAAGTAGTGTCATGCATGATGTAATGATTCAGGGAACCTTGCTCAGTACAGCATACTAGGCATTATATCATTGAGTGAATGTATTTTATTTGTGTGATTGGAACTCTCTTGTTATGTGGTGTATTCGTGCACTATGTTGCAGTACATAGGAGACAGTATGACAAAGTATGTGTTTTTCATAGATTTTATATACAGTATATATAAAGTATATTTTTTAACAAAAAAATGTTACAATAGTGGAGCATATCCAAAAAACACAAGTTAGAAGTTAAAGGGTACATCGAGTGGAGATGCTTAGAGTTTAATATCAGCGAGATACAATCTTATAAGAACTTGTACAGGGAGCATATAAAACTATCACTTTATTCAACCAAGTATTTTTAAATGCCATCCAAACCAGACGTAGTTGGAAAGGGACAACATCAGTGAAAATTTTAAAATAGAAAAAATGATTTCTTAAAGTGGTTTTCAGAAAACTACAAATCTACATTCTTTGACACAAACATAAACACTAACTGTACTTTATTTTACTAAACGGCCATTGTTGAGCTCAGCTCCAGTACTCATGAGATGATATCATCAGTCTGTTGCAGGCTGGATGAAGTATTTCCTCAGTTTCCTCTCCACCAGTGTTCAGACTGCGCATTGTAACTTTGTAACAACTCACAAAGTGAGAGGCTACACAGTTATTTTGTGTTGGATATTTGTGAACGCAGTCAAGAACTGCACAGACCTCATGATTTGGATAATTGTGTCATCTCTGAGCTGGCATCTCAATCCAGAAAGTATATGGTGATTATGGATGATGCTTGAACAAAAATAACTCAGCCCTTCTAGAGGGGAATTAGCAAAGTGGTGATCAAACCATCACACCAAGCCTTTATGTCAGTTCACGATTCAAGTAATTTTCCAGTGAAGTTTTTTTTATTATGATAAGCAAATCGGTTAGCAAATTAGGCAAATTGCATTTTTCCTGCCAAATATCTGCATGCAAATTTGTATATAATCCTACAATTCACAAATCACAATTTCAGGAATTCTGAAACTGTATGATGTTCTTAATATCAGGGGAATCTGCATTCAACTATTCATACAAATTAAAAAAGGATATTGGTCTATTTTTATATTCAATAAAAACAAAAAAAATTTTACAGAAAATTGTGGATAAATTACAACTGTTCATTTTTATAAATTTCCTTTATGATTAAACTTTGGTATGTTTTATTTTTTCCTTAGAGAGGATACAGGAGGAGATAGATACAGTCATTGGGATGGACAGACTGCCCAGCATGGCTGACCGCTTTCAGATGCCGTATACCAATGCTGTCATCCATGAGTTAATGAGATATATAGACATTTCCCCAATAGGGCTTCCCCGTATAGTGACTGAAGACACCAACTTCCGAGGCTTCACCCTCCCCAAGGTGAGAACCATCTGGGCACTTTTTTAGATGAATGTTCAGGCCAGTTTGGCTGGATATTGGTTTATAGAGGTCAAAAGTATTAGAACTAAGAAAAAAATCAATTGTTTCTGCCATATAAACCTAATAACAAGAACATTTGAGCAACATAGCATATAATCACAATCCAAACCAAATTGACTCACTTGGTCGGATTCTCCTCTTGGGTTAAGGTTTAAGGAGGGCAGGGTGCCCACCTTTTCTTTCTGGTCTCTGACCATGTTTTAAATCAAGAAACGTTGATCATGGCAACAAACACGTGGAATTAAGTCTCACCATTTGTGCCTCTTATGGAACTGGCATTCTCTGGGTTTTCTCCATTTGTCACAGGGACCTCACTGTCTGATAGGAACCGTTTGCCCTAGTTTACTGCAGTAAAGTGTCCCCACTGGTGTTTTAAAGAAATAGTAAAAGTAGCTGGTATATCATTTGTAGCTGCAGCCAGTCTGCAAATCTCTGATATGATTGTTTTGTTTAGGTAGCCCAACCACTTGTAGCAAACTGTGCCTCCTTTCTCAGGAACTGCACACATACATGAGACCAGCAAAGTCTACCTACTGTATAATTGCAATTTCACCTTGTGTGAATTCTTCCTTTAAAAGTGGAACCCAAGGGTCTCGCTATGTAACTCCCTTGTTCAGTCATCTCTTCTTGAAAAATACTCCTCTGAGATTATGATTTGAGGAGTGCAGGGCGCCTACCTTTACTTTCTGGTCTCTGGTCACATTTTTGTTCATCGGGTTGTAGGATAGAAGCAGATGTTTCTCACAATCAATCACAATTGATGTTTATGCTGGGAAATGTTTTAACACTCATTTGAATGGCTTGTTTAGCCCAACTCAATGGAAGGCATTCCCAAGAATGTAAACCCTTTTGCTTAATCTAGTCCCCATAACATCAAAGGCAGGGGCATAGGGTATTTCTTTTCATGGTAGGGTACAGCACTGAAGGATACAAGTGCCAGCATACCATACATGCTATGACTGGCAAGATAAGCTACAGTGCCACAATGCAATGGGAGTAACAGCTGCATACTGGAGTATCATTTTCACTATCACAAAATTTCTCACTTCCCTCACAGAGGGAAGATCCCTGCTGGAAGGAAACCCCACTGTCCTGTTCCCGGTAGCTCGTTTCCACTCCCACAATCTACTGGGAGGTGTGCTTAGCCTAAACTGGCCCAACCATGTTTTTTTCGGTACCATGTACATGTAGCACTACCCCTTAGGAGTCGCTGAGTTTTGAGTCCCCCTAGCTACACCTGAGGGGCACTACATACGTCATAGATTAGCTATGCCGTCCTTTCTATTGGCAAAAAGCATTGTGACCTCCTTTTACCTTAATCAAACATCACCACTAATCAATCAGTTCTGTGACTATCATCAGTAGACATGTGCATTCATCTGTGGATTCCATTGAAAAAGGATTACATAGTCAGGTCAGAGTACATGGCAGTCATGGGGATAGAATTGTTACCCTGGTCACTGACAGTGTCAGCAGCAAACTAGTGCCTTGCTGCTGCACCATGAAAAATCTGGGGGTGGGGTGGGATTAGGACCCTTTTGTCTTCATCCCCCAGTATCTGTGCCACAGCATACACATTCTGTTGTGAGTTGCACAACAGAAAGTGAGAAGGAAGCACATACAGTGTTGAGATATAAATTGTCCGTAAGTACGGCAATCACGGTGAAATATTGTGAAGTGATCCAATAGGGAATCCACCACCTCTGTTAGATGTACATTCACCAGACATCTACTGGTAAACAGCATGTGAGTGAACCCCTGAAGATGTGCATGCACACAAAATGCATCGGATGGAGCCGCACTTGCTGACGTCACGCCGCCGTTGCTGAAAGTTGGAACGGCAGCCATCTTGTGAGCTATTCCTCATAGGAGAGGGTCCACCTGCATTTTTTGCCCTTGGCTGAGCATCCCTTGCAGAGGCTTCATTGTTGTTACCTGTACCCAGATGAGATGTGCTTACATGCTGTTTACCAGTAGATGTCTTGTGAGTGTATGTGACGGGAGTGACTTTTGGGGGTGGGGGGACCTCTGTATCATCTCCCCAAATCATTATGTTTAACCCACCCTGTGCCTGTTTAAGGGGTACAGGGTGTGTATGTGAATGTCTGAGTCTTGTGTATAGTGTGTGTTCCTTTGTCTAGGCCACATGGCTGTCCATTGTCTGTTTGCCATGTGCTCCCCCCCATTGTGCTGTGTCTTCCTGTCCAGCCAACTATTATGGGATGTACTGTTTGTGTATTGGTGTGGGGGTTGGTCAATGTCCTTTACCATGTGTTTCATCCCATTGTTCTGTGTCTGGGTGGGATGGGGCGGGCTGATGATGTATTTCCTGTTCCTGGTTGTGTTTCCCCGCCCTCTGTATAAAACATGTTGTTTTAAAAATAAAATGTGTAAAAATAAAGAGTTGTTGGCTTCCTGTATTATGAAGAGCTGGGTATTGTCTTTTTCCTGAGGGATTTCAAGGTTTGGTCCGTGGATGGTGTTCGGACAGGGGAAGTTGTGCTATAACGGAAAAACTCAGTGCGGTCTGGGTTCCGGTTCCGTTACAGTGTACATCTGACAGAGGTGGTGGATTCCCTATTGGATCACTTCACAATATTTCACCGTGACTGCCGTACTTATATCCTTACGGACAATTTATAGCTCTTACTCCACTGATATTTCATGGACTTTATATAGTCTCACTGCACTTTACTGTTTCACATTTATTGAATGATTTATTGAATATTTTTTGTATTTGATTTTTATATGCTGCACTTGACTGTTCCACTAAAATGTATTTATTTTTTTTTTTCTTCTTTGCTATATGTCAGATTGACTCTGAACTTTATTTTCACTATAATATTATTCACTTATTTTAGCACTGCACTTTCTATATATTTATCCATAAGGAGTTGTTACCTATACCTTAGTGCTAGCTGCTTTATAGTTCCTGCGCTTGCCTACACTTGATATTTATAAGTGTTGAGATATGTCTGGAAAGATATTTATCCAGGTCTTCTTATAACTAGTAGTAGTTAGTCACATTCCACTGGACTTGTGTAATGCTGAAGACACTTCACTGCTTATCCAAGTAAGAATCAGTAGCATATTAACCACTTGAGCTCCTGAGGATTTACCCCCCTTAATGACCAGGCCTCTTTTTGCTACTCGGCGCTGCACTAATTCAACTGATAATTGCGCGGTCATGCAATGCTGCACCCAAACGAAATTTACGTCCTTTTTTTCACACAAATAGAGCTTTCTTTCGGTGTAATTTGATCACCTGTGCGCTTTTTATTTTTCACACTATAAACAAAAAAAGGCCAAAAATTTTGAAGAAAAACAATATTTTTTATTTTCAGCTATAAAAAAATATATAGTAAACTCAAAGTTGGTTATAAATTTAGGCCAAAATGTATTCTGCTCCATGTTTTTGGTAAAAAAAATCCCAATAAGTGTATGTTGATTGCTTTTTGTGGAAGTTATAGCGTCTACAAACTATGGTATAAATACTGCAATTTACGCCATTTTTTTGCTGTACAGCGCTGCGCTAGTTTAATGGACAATTGCGCGGTCATGCAATATGGTACATAAATTAAATTTACATCCTTTTTTCCCCACAAATTGAGCTTTCTTTCGGTGGTATTTGATCGCCTGTGCGGTTTTTATTTTTTGCGCTATAAAAAAAAAAAGGCTGACAATTTTGAGGAAAAAAAAATAATATTTTGGACTTTTTGCTATAAAACATGTCCAGCAAAAAAGAAATTCAAAAATCAAATTTAGTCATAAATTTCTGCCAAAATGTATTCTGCGACATGTCTTTGCTAAAAAACAACCCAATACGTGTAAATTAATTGGTTTACGTGAAAGTTATAGCGTTTACAAATGGCGGGAAAGATACCGGGATTTTTAGGTTTTTTTTTATACTAATAATGGTGGCGATCAGCGAATTATGGCGGCGATCAGGGACTTATGGAAGTGACCAGCGACTTATGGTGGGACTGCGGGACTGCGGCGGACATTTTGACATTGGGGGGTACTGACTTGGGGTCACTGACATCCCCAAAAACACTAATACAGTGATCAGTGCAAAAAAAAAAAACTGACACTGTACTAATGGCAATGGGGAGGAAGGGGTTAACTTTATTTTTCAGGGAAGGGTTATAGGAGTGAGGGGAGTGTTTACTAGGGGGCGGGGGTGTGTACTGGGAGGGACAAGGCTGATCGAGAAAGAGAAACTGTTCTTTCTCGATCAGCTCATCCTCGAGCTGAGAAGGAAGTGACAGACAGCGCAGCTACTGCAGACCCGGGGACTGACATCTGCGGCGGTGATCTGCGGGACAAATAGGGGGGGGCGGCGGCGCGCCTCGCGCGCGCCCCCTATTTGTTTACAAAACACACGTCTTAAAACGTGGTTTTGCCTGTGAGTGCCGCCCTGCCGCCGTATATGTACAGTGGCTGGGTGGCATGCGGTTAACTTGGGCAAATATTTTGAATCCAGTCACTATGGATTACCATAAACATCCAACATCTGATTTGCTTTAAAAAAACACACACATATATATATGTATATTTTTTCCACTGCATATTATGACATGTCATAAATAGAGTTGACCTTTTCAAGTTTCCATGAATATATTTCTAATTCTGATTTATTGAAAAAATATGCTTTATTTTATGTGAAATCTAAAAAAACAAAATACTTTCTCATGATACATTCCACCCTGTACTGTGACACAATGCATGAATACACTACAATAGAATACAGTTTCCACTCATACGATAAATACATTCACTCA